AAGATTCGTAAAGAAGTACAATAAAAACAATCAGAACATTTTGTATGTCGTGTTTTCCGATAAGTTATACCCAGATCGTAGTCGTATAAACTCAATTCTAATCCACGTCTCTGCAAGTGTATTGTGATGTGTCGCTAGTAGTCCTCCTAATAAAAAGTATATTATCTTCCTAAGTCTTTATCGTTCCAACCTATACCAAATGACTCTGCCATAATGATGTGGGAACACCTAAATTTTTAATTAATTTTTTTCCTCGACCCATTATCTTGAATGTAAATTCAACCACTCGGCTAATCTGAGTTCGTTTGTTATACGAACACATGTAAAGCTTATGCATGCCATTTACACGTATAGCTGCAATATCGTTCTTGAACAAAATTATGCGGCGTCATCTCAACGCTCCCAATAGCTTCAAATGGTGTGTTCCACTTTTTCGTCTAGATACCCTCTGCCTCGCGATTAGACGCAATCATCGTGGTTCCGAGTGCCTTCGTCAGCATACCTGCGAGCTGCCGTTTCGTGTTGATGTAGTCGATCTTCAACATCCCATCTTGCACCTTCTCGCGGATACAATAGTGCTTAAGTCCACGTGCATCGTCCGAGCATGGTGTTCAGCGTTGTTGGCTATAGCGATCGCTTCTTGGTTGTATTTTCAAACGTATGTGTCTTCCATTTGCTCGTAACCCATGTCGCTAAGCATCAAACGCATCTTTAGAACTTCTTGGGTGCGTAAACTGAGAGTCGGATACTCAGCCTCCGCCGGGTTTAGTGCAACGGATCGCTAACACTTTGCCTTGAGCACCATTGGCGTGCTGCAATCATGATCATGCTTGCCAAAACAGAATATCTGTAATATTTCTTCCTTATCGTCTGAGACCCTTCAGCTTTTATCCATAGGTCGTCCTTTTTCGAACATATGAGCATGACAATAATAAAAAGCGGCACAGAAAAACGCCTAACGTCGTGACAAAGAGCTTCTTCCTATGACTTCTGCCCCAGTTAAGTTGCGGGTACGCTGGCTTGTCTCTTTATCATCTATGATCGATACAGATCATGCGTCGTTGCGTACAGCGACGTCGTCCAAACATCGTTCGCAGAGAATGGCAAGATGAATAATTTAGCTTCGACAAAGTCAGGCATAAGGCCTGGTCAGCTTTCTGCTGTGGAGGATGAGCTTTCACATTGCGCGACATTGAACGCCCGACATTGAATTGTCGTATGCCACGATGGAAATGCCACCAAGTGATGAAGCAATACGTACGGCGCACGGGTCAGAAGCAACCTGTTTTCTGGTGCGGAAAGCTCGAGGGACAAGGGTCTGTCGCGTCCGCGCCTTACGGCGATGTTTTGGTACGCTGTGCTAGGCACAAGATTGGACATGACAATTGCTGACGTTTCGTGGGTAAATGATGAAATGAAACACGTTATTCGCGCTGTCGAAGGCAATTGCGCGGAAAGACAATGACGTTGAGCGAATTCCTTCCATTCATTGAGTTGCGCTAGATAACGCAGTGATAACTTCACCAGGCTCTACCTTTCATTATCAAATTAGTTTATTTCGACCCGTGTATCGCTTGAAGTGGCTCTGGTCTTGATGGAATAGTGCTGATACATTTTGCCTTGCTATTATCAACTCACATGTCTTACCTTGAAGCGGTTAATGGACAGGTACAAACAGCGCGACGCTATGGCTTAAATTCAGATGACACAAAGCGACATATTAATGTTAGAATTTGCTACACATCCTTTTGTTTCACGTAGCCGATTAAAAGAAGCACCACAACCTCGCTCGTTCAAACCAATCAGATGCCCTATTTCATGTGGAGCAACGTGTGTTCCAGCCTGTGGCGGATCTTTACTCTGCACTAGGGCAGCGATACGGTTCTGATGTTATCGGTCCGATAAGTAGCGTAAAGAGATCATCATTTAGCCCGTTCAATTATAAGCCGCGCGTCGTCCCGGAGAGAGGCGACGTGCCGTCACGTGAACAGCGACATTAGAGATAAAAAAATAATCATGACTTGTTCGAGTTTGGACACAAAATTGAGATTAACTGGACAGAATGAGAGTTTAACATGTAGACATATGTCGTTGCAACTCCTGCGCTGAGAAATTAGCAAGCTGGGCTTCCTGATCCAGGCAAAGCGCATGAATGACAAGGGGGACGACGTCGTGCGGTTCGCAGCGTAGTGTTGCAGCAATTGCGCCGGAAGAACGGGCACGGAATACGCCACTTGCACAGAGGAGAGGCGGAACGTAGAATTTGCCTATCACTAAGTAAACAGCTCTGTCATATGTCGTGAGGGTACGGCAGAGGTATTATCTCAGAGACCGAAGATTTTCTTCGATCATTCCCACCAAATAATATCTTGTTTCGCATGCTAAGAAATACTCTTAGATCATTGGCAAGGACGGCCTTAAACAGAGGTGTGTCTTATATGCTATTTCTTGACAAGACGAGATAAGTGTGAGCCTCAGTTTGAATTCACATCATTCTAGGAGGGCCTGACGGGGTACGTAGTGTACAATTGTTTCCATTCAGACTGCACTATGCGCAAATGGGCACAACTTCAAGGTATCAAAATACTTCTTCTAATGATATCAATAAATTTCGGAAGAAGAGATTGGTGGTACACATGGCCGTTAGCATCACTTCATGCACTATAGGTTGTATTATTATCGGTCGGATTTAAATTTGAAAATATATCGTATGAGATTAAGTAGACTCAATTATAAATACATGACTCTTATGAGGCTATAATCTAACTTGAAAGGCTCTCGGCTTCGATCCTATGTATAGGTTACAACCCCATTCTCCCTGGGACGGCGACACGGACTCTTTAAGCCAAAGTCCCCTCTATTTAAGGTGCACCGCAACCCTATGCAGCTCTGTTCTTGAATAGAAGATAGACATATATTTTAATTAGATAAGCCAATGTCAAACATATCTATTTTACTATGCTCGGTTGACAGATTATATATGATACGTACTATATGTAGTCCTTATGTCTCGCGGGCCATCTTCGCGGAGTCCCATCATCTTCATTAGTATACGTCTGCGCCTTGCACACTATTGTGCAATATTGAACTGATACGCACCCTGTAACAGCACACCCAGACCGGTATTACCTTAGTATCGTTTTTAAATTCTTTGACTTGTTAAGAATTAGCTCATGTAGTCTTTTTGTTCGAGAAACTTTGATTTGGTTAGAGCTAATAGGTTTATTCTTTAGTCATTTATTGACTCATGAGTTGATGTGCAAACTAAATTCTTAAGTCGAAATGGTGAAGATTTCATGTGCGCTGAATGGAGATGCAAAAAGTGCATTCTCAGTAGGCATCGATACAAGCCATTTGGTGGGGGATCACATGCGTGGAGAGTTGCAGCGTTATCCGCAAATGCTGATCATCCGAGGAATCCCGCACAATATTGGTATCATAATTTTGCCCGAACTATTTTGCGCCATGTCGTGCCTTGGACCGCAGGTCATGGCCATTTTAATCACGCTTGTTCGTAAAGTCCCATAGTGCTGCTGCAATTGAACGATTGTACTTTACGATTGGTATTAAATTCAATATTTGGTTTTGGTCATGGGATCAAAGCTCAGCTACAATAGCTTCACGCCAATTTGCTGCATCGTCGCTTACCATTGTTTGAGCATATGTCGTCGGCAAAGACGTATTCAACCGCACTTCTCACCATGTGCAAATCAATAATATCGGCAATAAGTTTGCTTTCGTCAATCCTAACACATTTCGGTGTTGGTAGACCATCTCTTCCTTTTATTAATTCATCATCATCTGAGCCGCTCCGTAGCATAAGTATAAGATCGTGGCATAGCCTTGTATGCACCACTGCATGCCAAAATACAAAACGATCTTTTGACATGTATGACGAGATAAACGATACTCTGCCAGCACTTATCTGATTTTACCAGGACTCGGAAGGCATCAGCCGCTGTAAGCTGACACTTGGTATATGCTCATCATCGTCCATTTAGACATCTGTGACTGGTTCTACGATGGATTCTATAAAATGACCCCGAACTGAATGTTGGTACATTTGATTTTGAGCATATCCATCATCACTGTTGTCTGAAATTTTGGTGGTCGCTTCTATTTTGTACTTAATCATTGGTGACCTTTGGTTGAGCGATGTGTCTCGAATAAAAATCCATAGTTGTGTGTACTATGCGAGCATGCCTAAGCTTCCACTGAGCGACAGCCCTGAAATACAACACATAACTTGCAAATTACTGCTTACAGCCGAGTATGTTTGCTTCGTCAATTCTTGAACCTGATGCAGTTGCCTTTTCTTTGCTCCACATCACACGCGAGAACTCCACTCACTCATTCCGCATTATACAAGATTGCCAATCGACAATCAGATTCCGTCAAGTTCTGGTATATATGTTAAACATCAACCATGCCAATTCCCTCTCCACCCACGCCGATCAATTTCCAATGCCGGTTCTTTTGATTCTTTTATTGGACAAGTGCTTCCTTCGCGGTGTCACGTGGGATTTAGCGCCACTGTCGATGGTCTATTTTTCAGATTCCCCTTTGCCTACCGGAAACACCGCGTCATCACTGCCGACACGTATTCCGGCCAGACACTTCCGCATCATATTATAGCTCCTGGTCACAATATATGCATTTTCCTTCAATCCGCTGTTATTGCGTGGAGCACCACCTCTTCTAGCGTTACCTCATCCACCTAAAGTATGAAGCATTCCCGTTTACGCAGAACGGTTGCTCCGTAGTATTCTTAACATGCCGTTTCTCTGTTTCTTTGAACAGCTTTTTCATCTTTTCAATGGGATGTTCTTCTAATTTTATACTTTTGATGGGATAAAACCGTGCTCCGACGTCGGATGGCTGAGAGGTATCACCACTCATCAACTGGGTCTCCAATTGTCTAAAGACCTACAACTTGCTCGTCAAAAGCGTCTGGGTATTCCGCCATGCAAATACCATTTTTCATCTTGTAGTCGTAAAGTCGTTGCATCATCGTCACACGTTTGTGCATTGTTGAGCGCTTGTTAGATTCACGTAGCGTTTGTCATGCCTCCATGGTCTGATGTTAATTCTCAACTTCATGCGCAGTGATACCCAATGTCTTGGAGTTGTTTATGAGCCCCGTCTCTGTGACGTCGTGCTCGTCCTTGACAGCAAAGATATGACCCAGAAGACCCTTCTTTGCCAGAGTCATTCTCATATTAAACTTTCAGTGGTAGTGAATACCACTTTCCAGGACGTCTTGAGTGCGCCTTTTTGCCATCTCGGGAACGGACAAAGTAGTGAAGAAAGGCTTGTTTGCGGCTGTTAACTTGTTACTTTGATGGTAAAATCCGAAACGTCACAAACATTATGTGTTAAACAAAATGTGTTTTTTTAAATTGAGGATCTGTACTGGTTACGAGACCGACATGTCTCCTTGTCTTTCAAAGTGGGTGGCGTTAGTGAGTCATTATTACTGGATTCTTTCCACGAAGATTGAAGTTTAATCTTTTCTAAGTTCAGGCTCCGTACACTCAACATCTTGTTAAGTTGAAAATGAGGTTAAACTTATGATTAATCAAAGGTGTACCCAATGTTTTAGTAGTAAAAGGTATATAGCTATAAACCATATATCCATTTTAATTCAGTTGAAAATTTTCCTGTTGAGATTAAGTCGTTCTTTTCCCTCCAAATCGGGACTGTCCTTATCTATCCACGTCGGGAATCACTTTCTCTTCGCACAAGCGCGTTTGTTGTGCTGGAGGAACTGTTCGAGATCAGTGCTTTTTTACACTATTGAGAATTCGTCTTTTGTACAAGCAAGATGTGATACCTATGCATGTAAAGCCACATTGCCACAACATCGTTCTCCAACAATATTGAGCGGCGTAATCTCAACAATTTTCGATGACTCGACAAAAAAAGTACACAACGCCGCTGATATATTGATCATCAGTATTATCTCGGAAAATGTTGTTCCTCTCTGCGCTAGAATCATGTAAGCAGAATGACCCTTGCAACATTATATTGATTTGCAACAAGATTGCAATTTCAGGCTTGAACCGAAAAGTCTGCACCGCGCATATTTGTGACAAAAGTACATCACCAATACTATAGGTCCAATGTAAAAGAAACCAACCATAGGATGACTTAAGTAAGACCATCGCTTGTAAAGGCACTACTATATAGTTTGTTTAGCCCTGCAGTACCTCGCATTATTAAACAGTACAATAGTATCCTGCTTCAGGTCGCAACACCCAACATCATGTGAAAGTGTGATTCACCATGGGGAATGCGCTGTAGAATGCTTCACGTATTCTGAGTGTTAGACACTACGCTACCATTTCGAAAACGTGGTGGTGGGCCACGTATCTTCTGTGCTATGGCTGTAAACTTGTTCTCGAAACCACGCTCTAGAACGTCGTGATTTGTTATACAGAACAGTGAGACAGACCGTGTATATGTATAAAGACGAGCCGTCGATGTTCATGTGGCAGCCGGCAATGTCCCTTCGGGCTGTGTCTTGCATGGAGCCTTAAAATATGTATTGCGACCGACGTTAGACGTCAGGTGGTCGATCTCGGAGGCATATTGTATGGTGTTAGACGAAGTTAGCCTCGATAAAATCATGGATGGCGTTGATGAGATCGAGCAGCGATTCCCACACCGACTGCAAGACGCGCTGTGAGGTGAGCAGCTGTATTTCTGATGTAAGGATGATCGTTTCGGGACACATAATGATGCCCTGCTTGCTCACATGCTCATAGATCTTTTTAGTCACGTCGAAGCTTTTGTCTTCGAAACTTGAGGCGTGATCCGTTTACTTACTTATACTTGATTGGATGCTCAATGATGTACGAGTTCTCGATACTTCAATCGTCTTGTAGGGTCTAAGCCAGCGTACTATTAACTTGATTCCACAAAGACGTTTGTCCGAACAAAATCGGAGCACGAAGTCAGCTTCGCGGAAGTCTATGCTTCACTTAACCATTTTTTCGTAAATGCATGATATTAAGTCGTACCACTTTTGCCTTGTAAAATGACAATGTAATCTGGGAGGTTGATATAATGAAACATATGATAATTTCAACAAAAGTTTTGTTACCGAGGGACTGGACTGTAGTCTGTTCGGGTTATACTGGATAAAAGAGGGGATAAATTCTTATCTCTTTGCGTCGGTTTGATACTTAAGAAGAAAATTGAGATTGTCACGAATGGTGTTGTCAACAGTACCATTACCCCATGGTGTGTATACTGAAAAAGGTGTGAAGTGTCTTGAATCGTTCAATCAATCTCTCCACGGGCTTGTTCTGTAGTTAAAAACGTTGTTCAATTTTCATTACGATGGGATTTGAATCGCTTTGTCCAATTCAATATAACTACAGCCGTCGCCGGTCCGGTATGTGTGTCACGAACAACGAGCTCGCAACAATGCGAAAGCTCATCCTTCGGCGCTAACACGTATCGTGGCGTCCCGTACGAGTCACCGATTAACAGGAAGTCATAAGGTAGGGTTCTAGTGCGGTCAGCAGGGTGGCGTGGTCATCACCATGGGCCATGGGTCAGTGACCCAACCTTCACGTTTTTGTATACCAAATAACCTGATAAAACATTTTATAGCAACTCACAACGCTTGTGATGTGATGATTGTCTCATAGTTGCTTAGTCATGGTGTCTGCATGACAATGGGCAATCAAAGCACAGAGTGAAGGGATGAGAATGTGTGTGTTGAGTTCTTTTGCTTGATTTGGAGTTCACGCCATCCCTAACCAGACGTAGTTCGTCTTCTAACTCCGTCGATGTCGCCGAAGCCGATCGCGCAAGGCGACGTTGAGCATCGGGTACAGGGTCGGAAGTAGACCACAAAAATACGTCGTCTTGTAGTGGCAGAAGGCGAGATACAGACACCGATGTTCCAGACCGTGTGCGATCAGCTTTGACGACCGCGGTCGCAGATGTTAATGGCGCGTGCCACTGGGACACATAATTTAACCGCACATTGTCTATTCCCTTGATATACTCGATCTAGTGTCGCAAGTCAACGGGCTGAGACGATTTATATGCGTCTGAAACAAGAAACATATCGTGGCCTTGACAATAACGGCCTAATCTAATGCGGGGTGACCGTTGCGTGATTATCAAGCAATTGTTTATACGCGTTGGGCTATATCAAGAGGACATGGCTGTCGCAGCAAAGACTAGCGGAAGATCATAAGGTCAATAAAGGTGTCTAAATTTTTTTAAAGATGAAGGAGCTGGACAAGACAGAATTCATTTCAGACATGGAGTTCGACCGCGACAAGCCAGCAAAAACACTTATGATAATTCAGACTCGTCATATCGATGACATGGTCACGTAATCCGGTTGACAAGGTACCAATACTCGACGACCCGTACGCATCATGATTGATGATGTAATAATCGTAGCCGCCTACGACAAATGAGAGTTATACGGCGATGTGCTAAAAACACAACCGATCCTTTATCGGATATGCTGTTCGTGATAACACTGCGTTTACGTATCCTAGAAGACTGCATACTGCAAATAAATGTGCAAAGAGTACATTCTTACTGATATTGGCTTCCAATGCAGCTGTAACACTACTATAAAAACATGTTATAGGCATTTCAGATGCTGTTTGTGTAGGAATACCAATGACCGTCATTCCGTTTTGGGAAAAATAATCATTATTGCAGGCGCGTTAGTGGTATAATCGCTGGCCTGTCGTGGTCAATCTTCATAGTATATTTCCCTTGTCCAACTCCTTCATCTTAAAAAAATATCGGAGCACTTCTTTGACCTGATGATCTCCCTGTTTGTTTGTTCTACGACAGTCATGTCATTCAGATATCGTTTAAAGCAATAAACCTATTAATGGATTTATTGATGTAAGTGCACTGGTCACCCACGCATCCGGTGAAGCCATATTAACAAAGCCACGAGGTATTGCTCGTTTCAGGCGCGTACTGCATGTTTCAGCCCGTAAATGATCTTTCTTGAGCATAATCGACTCCCAGCAGAATATCTACATTACCGTTATTTATCAGCGCACTATTTTAAAAGAGCAGTGCCGATACCCAGCTATTTCATTGACAGACGTAATTTTACAGACACCACGATTTTCGTCCAAATCAAACTTATGTTTGCGACCCGGAACAATTCTTATAATTGGTATGAAACGTTTTGCGACAAGTCGTCCCATGTACCTCATGTCATGATCAATTGGATCCCGCTCCATGGTACTATCCATTATCCTTGTTAGCTTTAATGTAAATGTATGGCTCCGTAAATTTGATTGAAGTCCAACTTCCCTGGCTTTACGCTACTTTACTGTGTCGTCGATTGAATATGTTTGCGCATACATGGTCGGCAAGTCCGTATTATCCTCACTTCAGAGTGCGTACGCAAGAAGTGCATTGGTAATGACTCCGTTTTCGTCCATCCTGGCACGCTGTGGTGCCAGTGAACCACATCTTTCTTCTCACAAGTCTTCGTCGTCTGAGCTACTCCCAAGCATCAGCATTCGCTAAATCCATTGTTTACTTCGGGCCAAAACATCAAAAAAATTAATTTCGCAAAACTTTACTACCTCCAGATTGTCTTCAATATAGTGCTCAAAAGGCACCAGCTGCTGTAAACCAACCACTGATGTACATAGAATACTATCCATTGCGACGTCTTGGACCATGTCTTCTATATCTCTCATGAAATCGTTCAGAACTAGCTGTACTTAATTCTAACCATTGTTATCATCACTGTTCGTAGTGAAATCTAACCCAACCTCTCTCAGAGCGAATCACATTGACATTGGCATTATCCAAGCCAAACAAGTGACAATTCTTAACACTTCTCACAAAACCAAGAAACAAACAATTAAAGCCCTTGAGTTCGAGCTTTGTTCTATTCGCATCTTTTTAAAGGAGCTACAGAGAAAGCGTCTGCGAAAATAAAAATTTCGGAAAATTCAAAGTTAAAGGTGGACGATGCAAATTTCAAAATCAAAAGCAAATATTTATAGGTAAACAGGCTGCTCACATGTGTCGCACCTGCTTGGTCGGTAAACGACCCCACAAGATAATGCGGTTGTCAAAGCGGGTAAAGAACGATCAGCATAATGGTTTATCAACAATGGCGCCATATCTGATACGACTACGCCCCGGAACGACTTTTTTGAAAAGACTTTTTCAAATACAAGAATCTTAGGACAAACGTCAAGGCTCCAATTGTTGACGGTAAAATGTGACTCGTCAAAGGATCCGGCACACTGAAGTTTTGGTAGAAAGGGAACTTGCATGGCTCACGTTATACATATATCTCAACACACGACAGAAGTTTGAAATCTGTTGACAAGCTTTCGGGACGCCGCATCAGTGTGGAAGTTTAGAGCATATTGTGTACCCCAGCACAAGAATCAATAATGCGTACATGCTTGACCGTGCGAAGAAAGAAGCTTATTACGCAGAGTATTTCTGGGCTGACACTCAGCGAAGGCGTTTTCTATTCTAGCACCTTTCACAAGACACTGCGCTCAACCAGAGATATGCCAATGATCGAATAAGGAACATCAATAGTTTGTATCGGGTGTTTGAAGGTCGGGAAAACCATCACGGCATTTTCCTCACGTTTGATCACAAAAACGATATATCTGCCAGAGTCAAGCACACAGATACCACGGGGTCAATGCGGACTCGTCGATGGGAGGTGCAAGATATCTCTCACTTTTGTGGATGAAACTACACAAAATGATGCGTTCTCCTGATCACGATCAAGCCTGAGGTAGCTTGTGATCACAAAATAATTTATAGCTCCTTACCAGAGGCAATGGATGTTCGCCTGAAATGACTGTGGATCGACAATAAGACAGAACTCCTGGACAAGACGAAGGCGGACATATGTCGTCGGAATATAGCTTTTAATATGTATTTTGTTGCATACAACTCTCAGCCAAAAAGAGTGGTAGAGTAAATGGTTAGGACTATCAGGAGAATGGTCCGCAATATGCTTGACTGCAAAAACATTTTGACGGATTGGTGCGCGGAAGCTGTGAGCACAACAGTTTATCTAAATGATCATTCGACATCTACAGCTTATCCAAACATCTCACCGTATGAACTAGATTTCGTGCGCGCGTTTGGGTTACATGACTGCGCATATAATAAAGATGCAAATGTACCAATACTGGAACCCAAACGTTTCAGGTGTGTGTCTCTTGAATTTGCAAAAAATCCGCTCTAAAAGGTTGCATGAACTGAACATTGACTTCTTTTTTGAAAATCCAGCACAGTCGCCAGTTACAACCATAGATGTTACTACTGATAAAGATGCTAGCAATGGTTAGAACCAAGTACAGCTATCTCCGAACGCTCGATGAGAGACATTAAAGGGTCAGTCCAAGACGTCGCAATGGAAAGTATTCAATGTACATAATTGGTTGGCGTACAGCAGCTGATGTCTTCTGAGCGCTATATTGAAGGCAGGGTGGAGTTCATTTGGTGTTTCGGCCCGAGGAAAACAATGGATTTAGCGGATGCTGATGCTTAGAAGTAGCTCAGATGACGAAGATTTGTGTGGCCCTCTGGCACCACGACGTGCTAGGATGGATGAAGACGGAGTCATTACCGATGCACTTCCTGCGTATGCACTGTGAGGTGAGGATAATACAGACTTGCCGACCATGTATGCGCAAACAAATTCAATCGACGACACGGTAAAGTAGCGTAAAGCCAGGGAAGCTGGGCTACAATCTCGTTGGCAGAACCAAACATAAACATTAATAGTGTAACGGAGCCAAACGTACCCACGTATGGAAGGACGGGTCATATAAGATGGTGTGGCCGTACATAGATGCGAATTACACAAGTTGGCGAAATCACACAGTGGTGTGGCTACACCGTAGCAAGAAGCCACTAATTGCCAGTAGATATACATATTAGTTAGGTCTTACAATTTAACAAGGAATACAATACCTAGAGATTTAGATATGGCGGCTTTGCTGCAATAAAGCAGATAGATATAGTTTAAAGTTTGAACGGAAGAGTGAATTTAGGGCGAGAAAATCATCCGTCACCAACGGTGGCGTCATAGACGCAAATGATGCAGACATCTTCTGATGCAGGTGCTCTAGCAGCGCGTTTTCGTAACTTGAAAACGCCTCTAGACGCGCACCGATTGTCTCGGGACCTTGCGCTAAAAGGTGTTGCACGCCCTCAGGGCGAAGCATGGACATCAGCTTGTTAAGCCCGTCCTGTATGCCCTGAGGCAAAGAGGAAAATTCCTCCATACTCACAGAGGGTCAGTTTAAACGAATGAGGTGTAGATTGACTACAAGCGCTACCAAGTGCAGCGGGGCTGCCGTATCTTAGCGAATATGGAAGCGTAATTTTGGTCACCTACCTTT